TGTGGCCTAAAATGTGGCGTATTCTGGAGAATGTTCCAAGTGTGCCGGAAAAGAATGTATACTTTGCTATTTGTTATGGATTGAATTGTGTCCCTCTAGAAATAATGTGTGTCAACTTGGCTAGTCCATGATTTCCAGTATTGTGTGATTGTCCACCATTTTGTCATCTGATGTGATTTTCCTATGTATTGTAAATCCTACCTCTATGACGTTAATCATGTGGGATTATCGACAGTTATGTTAATGAGGCAGAACTCAATCTACAAGATTAGATTGTGTCCTTAAGTCAATCTCTTTTAAGATATCAAAGAGAGAAGTGAGCAGAGAGACAGGGGAAACTCATGCCACCAAGAAAGTGGTGCCAGGAGCAGAACACATCCTTTGGACCCAGGGTCCCTGCCCTGAGAAGCTCCTAGACCAGGGGAAGATTGAGTATAAGGATCTTCCTGCAGAGTGTCAGAAAGAGAAAGCCTTCCCTGGAGCTGGCACCCTAAATTCAGACTTCTAGCCTCCTAGACTGTGAGAGAATAAGTTTCTCTTTGTTAAAGCCATCCACTTGTGGTGTTGTGGTATTTCTGTTATAGCAGCCCTAGATAACTAAGACCCTTTTTTTGGGTAGAGTGCTCCGTATATTTCTATAAGATGGAGTTGGTTGATTGTGGTATTTAGTTCTTCTGTATCTTTATTGATTTTGTTTCTAGATGTTCTGTCCTTCACCAAAACTGAGGTGTTAAAGTCTTCTACCATTATTGTGGAATTGTCTATTTCTTTTTTTCAATGCTGTTAGAGTTTGTTTTATGTATTTTGGAGCCCTGTCATTAGGTACGTATGTATATTTATTCCGGTTATGTCCTGGTGTATTGACTCTTTAATCTTTATAGATTGTCCTTTCTTATCCTTTATGGTGGATTTTGCTTTTAAAGTCTATTTTATCAGAGATTAATATTGCCACTCCTGCTCTTTTTTGGTTATTGTTAGAAACCTCAGTTTTTGCCCTTTAAGGTCTTTAACTGATTGAATGAGGCTCACCCACATTGTGGAGTGTAATCTGCATTACTTAAGGCCAAATGATTTAAATGTTAGTCACATGTAAATATGTTCCTAGCAACATCTAGACGAATGTTTGACCAGACATCTGGGCACCATAGCCTAGTAAACTTGACACATAAAATTATCAGAGTGCCCCTTTACTTTACAGGATTATGTTAAATACTTCTTCAAAGAAATTCTTCCAAGTTACACTGTATTAGTCAAGCATGAGAGTTCCTGTGATCCCACACCTTCTCTGACACCTGGTTTTGTCAGAATAGAAATCTTATTGTAATTTTAGTTTGCATTTTCCTAATTATTTGTGATTTCATTTTCTGTAAATTGTCTCCTTGTTTCCTTTTCCTGTTTTATTATTATTATTATTATTTTGGTTTGTTTGTTTCATTTCTGTAAGGTTATTTGCCTTTTTTTTAATCCGTTTGTTGGAGTCTGGACACTAAGCCTTTGTCAGTTTATGCATTGCAAATGCTTTCTCCCAATGTGTGGCTTGCCTCTTCACTTGGTTTATGGTGTCTCTTAATATAGATAAAATTTCTAAAGGTTTTTGTTTTTTAACTCTTTAAGACCCAACTATTTTCTGCTTTGAATTTTTTGTTGATACTGTGTGTTTTCAGTAGTGGAATACATGCTGAGTCATTGAGTGTGTTTAAATTTTTGGTTGGTAACGTAGATTTTGAGAAATATTATGTGAAAGTACATGATTTGCGGGAGCCCATCTGCCCCACTGCTCTTGGGTAGCAGGCTTTATTGTGGGCACCTTCCATTTGAGTACATGGGACACCTCTGGTTTTGTCTAATACCCTAGCTGTTTCTCTTCAATGAATGTTTCTTTCTCCTTTCATCATTACACAAGTTCCCACTGGAGGAAAGTAAATACTTTCAGCAGGAAAAGTATACTCCCCAAGAACTCCAGAGGCATAAAAATTGGTAAGATACCGTATGTTCCACAAAACACACGAAAGAGTTAACAAATATAGTATCTATAGCAAGAAAACACGGTGGAAATTATTTCCCTTTGGGGTTTTGTTGCCCTTCTCACCTTTTCTAGATGAAGGAACTCAGACATCTTAAAAAAACCCATTCAGGTCTTATAATTATATTATAACTAATATAATTTTATATGGCTCTAGGGAGGGGTGAGTGGATGGCAGTCCAGCAAAATTACTTTTTCATGAAGTTGGCTGGATGCTAGGAATATGTTCAAGAGCCCACCCTCCTGCTGGGAACTGGAGATGGAGAATCTCCCAGAACTCCACTCTATGGCTGAGGCAGTCACTCCCTTCTGGAAATTGATTTGGAAAGAACTGTCCTCATCCCAGGACCAGTAAACTCAGCCTGTGACAACACAGTAAAACAAAGGAAAAGGGAGCCCGCCCAAAGACTCTAACGAAAAGAAGCTATGAATAGGATTACTGCAGACACCAGGAGGGAATTCTGGCATTCCGAGCAGAATTTTCAAAGTCATGGCTTCTATTAAATAGCATCCTAAACAATAAGGGGAAAAAAGTCTGAGGAAAATGATGAGCAGATAAGACAGAAATAGAGAAAAGAGAGACATGAAAGAATTTAAGAAAATGAAAAAAGAAAAAATAGGAGACTAAAACAAGCAAGCAAACAAACAAAAACACACCCAGCTTGGTCTGGGGAAGAATTTTCTAAGAGGAAACGAAAGCCAGAAAACTTAAAGGAACAAATCGAGAAATTTGATTTCATACAAATGTCAAATTTCTGTTCAGCAAAATCAAATAATAAAAAAGTCAAAAGACAAAAAGGCAAACTGGATGTAATTGCAATTGTATTATGGTCCAAGAGTTAATATTTTTTTAATATGTAAAGAGCTTTCTTTAAATCGGTATTAGTGAAAACCCTAATAGACTAATAGGCTAAGGAAGAAAGAAACAAAGAAAACCCAAGCAATTCAAGAAGCATAAAAAGAGCCCACTCACTCTAGTGGTCCAAGACTGAAATCTGAGATGCGATCATTTCCTTCCATCAGATTGGCAAAGGTGAAGAAGAATGACATGAGCAGATGCAGGTGTTGGTGAGGGTGAAGGCAAACTAGAGCTCTCTCATAGAATCGGTGGAAGTGTCATCTGGTAAACTTTTTTTCTGAAGAATGAGTTAGTCATGTGTATCACAAGCTCCGAAGAAATTGCACAGTCTTACTCTTTAATCACACTTTTTGCAACTTACCCTAGTGAAATAATCAAATGACTGAAATAAAGCACAATATCTGCACATGATTTGGGAGCTGTAGAGAGGAGAATTCTAAAACATAGCCATCAGTTGGGTCAGGGAGGTGAGGGAGAGGGAAACCTGAAGAATCGCTCTTGGAATTAGTGGGTGCGTGGTGGGACCGCTCATGGATGCAAGGGATGAGGGGGTTACAACGGGTTCGAGGGGAAGGTAATGGATTGGGTTACATGTGTTTTACATTTCAGGTGTGTGTGTTCAGGGAAGATGTTCTGGGGGCAACTGGATGTGCAGGTCTGGAGCTCAACAGGGAGTTAAAGACTTTAGAGGCATTGATGTCGGGGTGTGGTTGAAACTGTGAAGGTGGATGGTAGTTAGTGTCCTTTTTTTTTTTTTAGAGATAAACTTTTCTTCTTTCTTTTTTTTTTTATTGTGCTTTAGGTGAAAGTTTACAGAGCAAATTAGTTCTCATTCAACAATTTATAAACAAATTGTTTTGTGACATTGGTTGCAATCCCCACAATGTGTCAACACTCTCATCTTCTCCACCCTGGGTTCCTCATTTCCATTCATCCTGTTTTCCTGTCCCTTCCTGCCTTCTCATCTTTGCTTTTGGGCAAGTTTTGCCCATTTAGTCTTATTTACATGATAGAACTAAGAAGCACGTTCCTCATGTATGTTACTATTTGTTTTATAGACCTGTGCAATCTTTGGCTGAAGGGTGAACTTCCAGAGTGACTTCAGTTCTGAATTACAAGGAGGTCTGCGGGCCATAGTCTCGGGGTTCCTCCAGTCTCTGTCAGACCAGCAAGTCTGGTCTTTTTTGTGTGAATTTGAATGTTGTTCTACATTTTTCTTCTGCTCTGTCCGGGACACTCTGTTGTGATCCCTGTCAGAGCGGTCGGGCATCATCTAGTTGTTCTAGGCTCAGGCTGGTAGAGGCTGTGGTACTTGTGGTCCATCAGTCCTTTGGATTAATATTTCCCTTATGTCTTTGGTCTTCTTCATTCCCCTTTGCTCCGGACAGGATAGGATCAATAGATGTATCTTAGATGGCCACTTGCAAGCTTTTAAGACCCCAGACGCTACTCGCCAAAGTTAGATATGGAACATTTTCTTTGTGAACTATGTTATGCCAATTGACCTAGATGTCCCCCGAGACCATGGTCACCAGCCCTCAGCCCAGCAACTGGGTCCCTCAGGGTGTTTGGATGTGTTTATGAAGCTTCCATGACTTTGCCTTGGTCACGTTTTGTTGACTTGCCCTATAACGTATACTATCTTTCCCTTCACCAAAGTTACAACTTATCTACTATCTAGTGATTTCGCCTCCCTACTCCTCCCCACTCCTCCCCTCCCTCGTTACCACCAAAGATTGTTTCTTTCTGTGTGTAAACCTTTCCTTGAGTTTTTATAATAGTGATTTCATACGATATTTGTCCTTTTGTGATTGACTTATTTCACTCAGCAAAATGCCCTCCAGATTCATCCATATTGTGAGATGCTTCCCGGATTCATCATTGTTCTTTATCGTTGCATAGTATCCCGTTGTGTGTATGTACCATAATTTGTTTATTCATTCATCTGTTGATGACCACTTAGGTTGTTCATGTCCTTTTTGATGCACCTGAGAAAGTGGAGGGGAACCGTTGTTTTGGGCTGACTAGGAGGGAGGCAAGTTGATTCTGGTGCCTTGCTTTGTGGCATTGATATTGCTAGCCAAAATTTTGATGGGCTCTCTCTTTGTTTCCCTTCAGGCCTGGGAACACTCTGTGGGGATCATCTGCTTTCCTAGTATCCCAATACTGGCAGAGGATGTGTCCCACCAGTTTGCACAAGAGATACAGGAGGCCCTTGCTGGAAAGCCTGCAGGTAAAAGAACACAGGTGCTAGAGAACACTTTCTGGAGGGCAAAAAAGTGGCCTGGTCAGCTCTGAAGGCCTTCCCAGGCCTTTGGCTAAGCCTATCTCTACTTTCTAGTGGAGTTTCATAGAGTAGTGTTTTCTAAACTGCACCATAAACCAATTCCTTCACTGAGTAGAACAAAGTTTGCATGTTGGGAACAAAGGGAAAGGCTGGTGGAGGAAGGAAGAAGGTTCAGCTGCTCCTGGGAGGGAGAGCCTCCACTTTTATCCATCCTGCCCCTTCATCTACACACACACACACACACACACACACACAACCAGGACTATGGTCTTCTGTAGGGAGGAAGTCCTAGCATAAGGGGGCCGCCTGAGTGTTCAATAGATAGCATGGTCCAGGAAAGACAGAGTCCAAAGCATGTTACCAGCTGTGAGGTCTCCTGACTTGGGTTTTCTTTGAGCAGACCTTGGAGGATGGGCAGAAGTTCAAAATGGGCACGGGGTTGAAGGAAGGAGAGAATTCCAGAGGGAGGACAAGGTTTAGCATGGTATGGATTTTAGGAATCCTGGCATGTGGGGGCTGTATGATGCAGGAGTGGGGTAGAAGGAGAAGCTTCTGGACTGTGGGGAGCCCAGTAGCTGAGAAGCTTATTCTCATTCATTTGGCAATAGGGAGCCACTGATAGTTGTAGAACAGGGGAAGTGGCATGATAAAGATTGTCCTCCAAGGAGATTAAACTGACAGAATGTGAAATATTTGCTATAAATTCAGCTGGGGTTGGGAGGTGGTGGGAAGGAGGCAGGGGTCCCCTAAAGATGTGAAGACACACATCGGGGGCAGAGGAGACCCTGGGTGGTGGGGGAGCTGGGTGGCAGGTCCAACTGCACTCACTGCTGGTCAATTTTCTTCCCTTCCTACACCCTTGTCAGAGCAAGCACGGGCAGTGGCCTGGCAGTTGCTACGACGGAAGGGGGATGCGGACCAGGGTGGCTACCTGCTCCTGAAGTCGGTGTACGTGCTCACAGGGAAGGACTCAGTAAGTTCCAGGCCTCATAAGCCTCTGTCCCAGGCCTTCCTCATCATTGTGCAGGGGTGTCCCAGCGATGGCATGTCCTGAGTGTTTCTCTTTTCATGAAACTGACTTATTCTCTCTCCTCCCTACTCCCCTTCCCTCAGAGAACAGAAAGTTCAGAGCCTGAAATTCAGGTTTGATTCCTGCCTTTTCAGGTATTCTACCTCTCTCCAGCTCAGCTGTGTTGCTTATTTTAGGTCTGGGGACAATAATGGACAGCAACGGGGATAAAAGCCCTATTGCCCCCATTATTGTGAGGATTACTATTGTGAGGAGGCTGATGTGTTGTGACAATTTACTGCAGAAAGACGGTGGTGGGCTGGAGGCTGATACCTGGAGTTCACCAAAGGACAGCCTGACTTCTCTGTGGCATAAACTGTCAGGACACCTGTCAGGCACAATGACATGAAGCACAGAACAAGTCTCTTCTGCCCCTGGGAAAGGACTGTCTTCAGTCTGAGTAGTGACAGATAAATCTGGAGGTGTGTTTTCCCAAAGCAGTAAGAGGCGGGAGTGATTGGCGACGGTGTAGCCATCACAGCACATGGAGCACAGGGAGGCGGCTGCCAGGAGGGAGAGGCTGTTGTGGCAGAGCCAGGTATCAGATACAGGGCCTTACTACCCTGCGGTGGAAGCTTTAGGGAGGAAAGATTAGAACAAAGTGTTTGCCCTATGTTTAGAATTCTGGTCTGGACTGTACATTCTCCCTTTTTCTTTCTCTCATTCACACACCACATCTGTTAGGCTGGTCAGTCTGTGGGGAAATCTCTATTGTGCGTCACTGAGTGGACCGTGTGGCACGGGGAAGCCCACGTGTGCTCACATGTGCACACACACACACAGTTTGCAGCTGCTCTGACCTCAGTGGAGCTTCAGGCAGAGCCCGTGCAAGGAAGGCTGATCCCATGTCTGCGGACATCACGTCTTCTCAGCCTCTGTCTGGTGGCGCCAGGGGTGCTGCTGAGCTGACGTGTGGCTGTCTCGAATAACAACCTTGCCTATGGGGCCATTTTGGTCTTGGCGAGGTCTTGGATCTGGGTGAGGAGATGGGGAGTGTCCTGATCAGGCCCTTAATTCAGCTGTTCATGTACTTGCAATCAGCCAGCCCTCCTGACTGAGTTTCTGGTTTCCTAATCAGGAACCAATCAACCAAAATCAGCCAGGTGAATCGCTAGGCAGCCCTAGTATTCTGCTCTGTACCAGTCTCTCTTCCTCTCCCACTCCTTCCCTCCCCCATCCCTCCATGCCTCCCTGCTTCACGCCTCCCTCCCTGCCTTCCATCAGCTATTTTATAAGGTGGCTTAACATTTATTGAACACACAGCAGACAGTCCTAAATTTAATCTTCACAATCACCCCAGATGGGGCACCAGGGGTGGATTATCCAATAGGCAAGGTAAGCAGGTACTTACCCTGCTTACTAGATCATCAGCAGTGAACAATTTCACATGAGTTTCACCTCATCAAAGATGTCATGAAAGGCACGCGTAATTGTTCACTACAGATTAGTAAATAAGCACAAGTAAGCCTGTGCTTACCTTGCTTACTAGGTCATCTGCCCTTGTCCAAAACCCACTGCTGTTGAGTCGATTCCAACTCATAGAAACCCTACAGGACAGAGTAGAACCGCCCCATAGAGTTTCCAAGGCTGCTTTATGGAAGCAGACTGCCATATCTTTCTCCCACAGAGCAGCTGGTGGATTTAAATCGCTGACCTTTCTGATAGCAGCTTAGAACTTTAACCACTGTGCCATCAGCGTTCCTCTGCCTCTCTCAGGGATTGTATATTTGAAAACAGGCTTTGATTCTGTAGGAAGGTGCTGTGGGATTGGGAGAGAGACAGATGCCAGCCATACCTAGAGGCAGAATCTTTGATGTAGTGAAATTGTTCTCTATAGATGATCTCGTAAGCTAGGTAAGCACCATGTTTACCTTACCTGTTGGCTAATCTGCCCCTGTGGGGCACTATTACTGTCTCTGTGTTACACTTGAAGCCCAGGGAGGGGAAGGAACCGGCCCCAGGACCCGGCTAAAATGGGGTCTGGAGCTGCTTGTCTGAGCATGCAGCTGTGTGTCCTGCTCTGTCCTCAGGTCATGTCCCCTCTTCCCTTCCAGGAGACCCTGGGCCGAGTTGCTGAATCTGGGCTCCCAGCCCTGCTCCTACAGTGCCTTTACCTCTTCTTTGTCTTTCCTCCGGAAAAGGATGAGCTTCTGGAGAGCAACCTTCAGGTTCAGAGGATGTTTGTGCAGGTGAGTGACAGAGGAGGGGGCTCTCTTACCTGGCCAAGCCCTGCCTGGCTTCTGAATGCTTCTCTGAGATGCTTTCCTTCCCTAAGCTGCTCTGTCTGCCCCGGAGGCCTGAGACACTTTTCTCAGCCCCAGTTCTGAAGCTCACCTCTTCTGCTGGAGTGTCAGGCTCACCCCTCCCCTGCTCTCTGCAAATGCCTGGGAACCCTGTGTGGTTGGATATGGATTTTCTTCTAGTCTCCCCATCTCATTATATCACTGTAGTAACACCGTCTCTCTTGTTCTCTCCTTCCAACAGCCACCTCCTCTACTCGGTTGCCCTGCCCTACCCTACCCATCCCACTCAGCTGCTTCTCCTCTGGTCTGCTCCTGGCTTCTGTCTACTCTCTCCAGCATCTGGAATCTCCTGTCTCTGGCCCTTTCCCCTTTGATCACAAGCACGCTAAAGTCTCACTTTTTAGAAACAATAGCCAACATGTTCCTAAGTACTTACTACATATCCAGCATAGGGCCATGTGCCTCCCATACATGATCTCTCTCAATCCTCCCTTTGACCCCAGGATGTGTGTGATATTGTTATCCTGATTCTATACATGGAGACATTAAGGTATGGGAGTAAGCCTCAAGTCTAGGCAGAGGAACAACTAGGTATGGCAGGTATGGCAGGTATTTCACTGGCCCTGGGTGCGTGGCACCACTGAGCAGGTTCTATAAACCTGGTACAGCCAGTGGCATATATACAGAAATTGCACCCCTGTCCAAACATCTGACACCCCTCTTTTAGATAACTTTACCATAATATCAGCTCAAAAATACAAGTCAAGCTTGTTAATCTTTCAATTCACACATTACCATGCTTGAGGAAGGATGTTGGGCCGTACCACTGGGTTAATAGAACCTGCTCAGTGGCGCCACGCACCCAGGGCTAGTGCAATACCCTAGATCCGCCACTGAGTCAAGGGTCACAGAGGTAATGGATACGGGAGCTGGGATGGGCCTGGGGATCTGGCTCCAAGTTCGCTCATCTATGTTATGCCACCTCCCCCTCCTTTAAGACATACCCAACCACCAAGCATCAAGTGCAACTTCCTCTTATCATTGCCCTATTTCCTTGCCTACCCAACCAACCAGAAGTGCTTTTAACATAGCTTCTCACCTCCTTCCCCTGTCCCCTTGCTGGACAGTTTCTGCTTTTTTAGCTTCTGGGTTGCTGTGTTCTCTGTGGCTCCCCCTCCTCTCTGACCTTGAGGTGGGTGGAGAGCAAGGAGCACTGTGTGTCACTCAATTCTGCAGGGCCAGGGCCCAGGGCAGCGTCTTACAGCTACAGGCATCTGATCATAGACAGGACGTGTGTCGGCTATACATATTTGTTCACTTTACATTCATTTTGGACAGATTCTCAAGCCACAATCATCATCACCAGTTAGTGTCACATGCATTCTGGCTGATACCACTTAAGATGGGTGTCTCAGTTTCTTAGTGCTGCCGTAACAGAAACAATGAAAGTAGGTGGCTTTGAAGAACAGAAATTTATTTTCTCACGGTTTGGGAGGCTAAAAGTCCAAATCAGGGTCTTGGCTGTGTTGATTCCTTCCTTGTAGGCAGCCCTGGGTGTTCCTTGGGTCCTTGGCTTGTAAACGATCCTTCTACAGCATTCATCTTTCCCCATTTGTACATGTGTGTCTCTGGATCTATGTAACTCAGAAGTGATTAGGTATCACCTCAACTGATTGATTGATTATGTAACATTAGATTGCATTATGGAAGATGATTACATTACATTAGATTCCATCCACAGGAATAGGGGTTAGGATTCCAGCACCTATTTTGGGGAGACATAATTCATTCCGTAACAGTGGGTTACCACCTAAGCTGCATTGTTGGACACCAGGTGTTATTCGTCCATATTTAATCACACTGTAAGTGGTGGCCAGGGCACAGCCCTTGGTACTTTAGCAAACCGCTGTCCCAGGGCTCTCCTGTGCCCTGCACTGAGTGGGCACAGGCCTCTGTCTCCATGGTCCTTTCAGTCTGCTGGGGAGGAATGTGAGCCATAGGTGATGGACTGTATCCGTGTTCCAGAAGGGTTTTTGTTGTTTCGGTCAATAAATATATACTGAGCACCCACCAAGGGGTCACAGCATTGAGCACAATGCCCTCACTCCTAGAGGCTACAGTTAGCCAGCAGAGCCAGACAGTGACAAATGATCATATGAATAAATGTGTAGTTACCAATTTTTTAAGTTCTGTGAAAGAGAAGTCAAAGGTATGCTGGGAAATTATGAGAAGGAGGCCTGGTTATATTACAGAATAAACAGAGGCTATCCTGAGTACATAACATTTAATCAGAGACTTGAGGTTGACAAGGAATCAGAGAGATGGCCTGGCCTGGTTGAGATGGAGGAGGAAAAGAGAAGGCCATCCAGGTCAAGGGAGCAGGTGAGACAAGGTGAGAACTTCATCACATTGGCCCCACCTACCTGCCAGGGAGGCTAGAAAGTGTGGTCCGTAGCCTAGCTCCCTGCTGTTCAGCTTTGACTATATTGCCAGGCCAGACAGGGCTAACAGATTTCAACTGCAGGAGCTCAAGATATTTGTCAAACTGGAAGAAGGTCAGGGTGGCTGGAGCCCCAAGAGCCCAAGGGAGAGCTATAGGAGACAGTCAGAAAGGAGGCAGGGCTAGTGCACACAGGACTCTGCAAGCCATGTTAGCTAGTCTGGATTTTATCCTGATTGGAGAGGAAGATGTTGGAAGTCCCTCTGGTAGCCACTGGGAGACTGGATTGGTGGGGACCAGGAGCCCAGTTAGGAGGGGTCTTGGTGTCCCAGAGCCACTGTAACAAAGAACCACAAACTGGGGGGCTTGTAAGAACAGAAATCTATTGTCTCACAGTTCTGGAGACCAGAAGTCTTAATTTAGGCCTGGGCCATGCTGTCTTTGAAGGCTCTAGGGGAGGATCCCTTCTTGTCTCTGTCAGCTTCTGGTAGCTCCAGGTGGTCTGTGGCTTGTAGTTGCATCTTCATGTAGCCTTCCTTCCTCTGTCTGTCTCTCTGCGCCTCTTCTGTTTATAAGAACACCACTCAGATTGGATTAGGACCCACCCTGCTCTGGTATGACCTCATAGTAACTGATAACATCTCAAAGACCCTATTTTCAAACAAGGTCAGGTTCACAGGTACTAGGGGTTAGGGCTTCAACATAAATTTTGGGGGGACACGATTCAATTTATAGCAGAAGGTTATAGGATAACTCTCAGGATCTTATGGAGAAGTAGAGTTTGCGTGCTAGTCAGGGACACAAGAACACATCTCTCTTTTTAAATAGCACTTGTGCCCAGTTATTGCTATACATTAATTGTTGACACCGCTTTGCTGCCTTTCTATATAAAAAGACACCCCTCTAAGTCAGTTATTTCTGTGTTCTGCTGATTTGGAAAGGATAACAACTACTTGTACAGGGATTGTAAGTTCAGATTTGAGCCCCAAGCCCTGTTACCCTGTGCACTGTGCACCATGCTGGCCTAGGGCAGAGGTTACCATGCACAACACTGTCCCTCCTGCTGAGGCATGGCCATCACTACTCCAGAAAAGCAGGGAATGATCCATCACAGAAAGACGGTTTCCTAACCGGAGTCTCCTTGGCTTCTCCCCACCCTCCACCCCAGATGTTGCTCAACATTTGCAGTGAGTCTCAGGGTCTGGAAGGACTTGTCTCGGGAACCGAACTCCAGTCTCTACTCATTGCCACGACCTGTCTTCGGGAGCACAGCTGCTGCTTTTGGAAAGAGCCCACCTTCTGCGTGCTGAGAGCAATCTCCAAGACCCAGAACCTTAGTATCATCCAGTACCTGCAGGGTAAGTCCCCAGGAGACCAGGTGTGGGCTGCAGGCCATGCAAGAGCTTTCCTTATACTCTTAGGGCAAGGACTGGGCCTACTTCCTATGAGACCAAGAGATTGTCTCGCAGCATCAGTATAGAGTCTATACGGGACTAGAGGAGAGATGAATGAGCGGGTCTCTCATTGATGCCCAACTGTGTCCTGTAGATGACCCTACACTGCATGCTCCATTCATAAAATTGCTTTTATTATTCATCTTGATGTTTCATTGGAAGAGGGAGGGGAAGGGTAAACTCACTCACTACTTGGCTACTATGAAAAAGACAGGGTCCTGGGCCCACTTTTATGTTATCTCATTGGTTTTTTTGAGATAGACATAGATTACTGTTTTGCATTGGAGAAACCTGAGATTAAGGGCAGTGAAGTAATTTGCCAAATCAAATATCAAACCTGGAGATTCCCAATTCAGGTGCCTCAGGTTCTGCTCAGGGACAGCATGTGCAGGGGTTAAGGCCATGGCCTCTGGACCTAGACATGGGTGTGGACTCAGCTCTGCTCCTCACAACAGAGCCACCTTGGGCACTTCATCACCCATCCTCTCGGCTGTCTAATGGAAGTAGTAATACTGCTGATCTCATTGGATTGCTGTGAAGATTAATTGCGTTGATATATTCAAAGGGCTTAGACAGTGCTTGGCACATGGTGAGTGCACACAGGTGTTAGTATCACGTCATCATTACCTGGGTTTGACCAAAGGCAAGACACTTAGGAAGTCAGTTCTGTTAGCAGTACCAAGGGCATGCCTTCCCATCATCTGCCTCCCCAGGGCCTGAGGTAATGCTGAGGAGTGTGGAGCCCACTGAGGCTCATAGAATCTCAGGAATGGGTTATTGGCCTCCTTTCAGCTGCTGGCCCAATGCGGGGCAGGCAGGCTGGCTCCAAGGAGAACATTCTGAGGAAGGTTCGTTTCAGCTCACCTTTCCCCTGACCACTACGACATTTCCTTGGCTCCACCAGTTAAGGCGCCTATTGGGAACACAGCGGTCCATGCCTTGGGCTAACCAGTTGGCGTCTTCTGGGGATAGGGGGTGTCCGAGCTTGCCAATGTGACCTGCTTGTCCACAAACACTTTCCCCATGGTTATCTCCTTCCTGGGGCCTCCTGTGACAGCTGGAGAATCAAACAGGCCTGTCCCCTCCTGTAACTGATGGATGGAGCCCTGGGATGAGGTGTGGGCCACAGTTTAAAGCACTTGATGAGGCCAGGCCCTCAATGCTCAGTCTTTTGTTTTACATCTAATTACCTAACAGACTTGTATGCTCCTGCGTGCTGGGAATTAAGAGTTGACAGCTAAGTCACTGCCTTCCTTTTTTCTGTTTCTCCTGCTGTCATCTGGGCATGCAGAGCGTGGCTCTCAGGATGACACTTGTCGTGGGGGAAACTTCTTTGATCCAAGAGTCAGCAGAAAAATGCTTGAATTTATTCTCATTCACTTCCTGATATGCAGCTTAAAGGGGGATGAGGAGAGAGCTGTGCTCCGTAGGGTTTTCAGTGGTTGATTATGTACAGTTCTACTCTGACACATGTGGCATAGGCCATGGTCAGAACTGACCCAGCGGCAACTGGTTTGATTTGGATTTTGGAGGGGAGTGCTATTGCTTCTGAACTGAATGGGGTGTGTTTTCCTCTGACAGCCATGGATTGTATTAAGATTTCCCTCCAGAACCTCTCCAAGCTTGCAGACATGTTCCCGGCTCCAGAGGTGAGCGAGGCTGTGGGCCTCGTCTTGGGCTTCGTGAAGGATTCCTACCCCATCTCCTCAGCTTTGCTCCTGGAGTTCGAGAATGGGGGGGGCTACCCTCTGCTGCTCAAAGTACTGCTTCGGTAAGTGGCTGTACTTGGTTGGGGACAAAACAGAGTTGCCAGAGCATAGGTTCTCAGTTATTGGGGGCTTTGGAAGAAGACAGTGATGCTTCTCAGTACATCTTCTGAAATGCACATCTCCATAGGACGTGGCCAGGGAGATCTCTAATTGCAAAATAATTCAATGTGACACATTGATGATTCAATGGTTGGATTCTTGTCTCTTATGTGGGAGACTCAGGTTTGATTTCTGGCCAATGCACCTCATGAACAGCCAGCACCTTTCTGTTAGTAGAGGCTTGTGTGTTGCTATGATGATGAACAAGATTTCAGTGGAGCCTCCAGACTAAGATGAACTAGGAAGAAGGGCCTAGTGATCTACTTCCAAAAATTAGCCATTGAAAACCCTGTGGAGCACAACAGTCTGATTTGTTACTGATCATGGGGATAGTGCAGGACCGGGCAGTGTTTCATTCTGTTGTGCATGGGGTTGCCATCTTGATGGCAGCTAACAAATTCAGTGTGCAGCCAAGTTTGGGGATCTCTTTACTGGAGAACCAATATTTCGCTGAAGGCTGATGGTAGTTTTACCAAGTCCAGTTGGTGTCCTACACAGATCCCCTTGGCATGTTCCATCTTCATGCTGACCAACTTGACTTCCACCAGTCAGAACCTGCATCTCTGTGTGACACTGCTATAACCTGCTCTGCTGGGTGCTTGGTGGGGGCTGGAGGTGCCAGGAAATTAACAACCCCCAGGAGCATCCCTCAGCCAATGACTGACAGGAGATGATGGATAAATACCCAGCAAATTTGCCCCTTGGGTGAGATAGCTCTACACTGTCTCCTAAAGTTCCCCGTAAGAATTATGCTCCTGTTGCCCAATGTGTACTTGCTTGTTAAAGCTCCTATATTGGCTTCCTTCTATTCTCTATTTCTCATGACCTCTCCTACCAGTATTTTCTGGGATCAACTCCCAAATAAGTTACTCACTCTCAAATACTTGTCTCATGGGAAACCCAAATGAAGAAGACACTTCTGCTGGGTTATTACCTCTACCTTGACTTACATTCCATCTTCAGTTTGGGTCCCAGGATTGGATAGAGCCAAGGAATGGAAAGTAAAGAAGCTCCCTGATGGTCCAAACTCTTCCACTGATCTTGGGGAAGCTTCTTAAGGGCCTGGCCAAATGTGCTCCTTTGGGCTTTGCTCAGTGACTATCAGAAACCCTACTCTATGGGGATGTAGCTTACCACTACACCTCACTGATTTCAGTACAGAGACACTCAGAGTCTAGAGGAGGGGACTTGGATGAGGGTCTGAAGTCCTCCAGCCTCCAAAATGATGTGATTAAATGGCAACACCCAGAAAGACTTCCTCCAAAGGGGTGCTGTTGTTGTTGTTGTTAGATGTCATCAAGTTGGTTCCGACTCATGGACACCCCGTGTACAACAGAACAAAACACTTTCCTGTCCTGGGTCATGCCCACAATCGTTGTTATGTTTGAGGCCATTGTTGCAGCCACTGTGTCAATCCATCTCGTTGAGGGTCTTCCTCTTTTTCACTTACCTTCTACTTTACCAAGCATGATGTCCTTCTCCAGGGACTAATCCCTCCTGACAACATGTCCAAAGTATGTAAGATGTAGTCTCACCATCCTTGCTTCCAAGGAGCACTCTGACTAACCTATTGCACATTTTACATTTGTCTGGGCCACCATTTCCTGGCTATTTTGACCATGGAGGATTGTGCTTTAGCAGTTCTTAATATTTCTTTGCCTAAATGAGTGATTCATTTACTCCAGAAATGATGTTGTTCCTAGGAGTGTTGGGAAGGACCCTTTTTGGCCCATTGGTTTTTCTTTTGCCTTAACTGAAGTCACACTGAAAGCACTATGACTCTTGAAATGGCAGAGCTAAAATCAATCTTTAGAGGTCTACACAATGAGAAGAGCAAGGTAGCCCACCTACCCATCAGTAGCTAAAAATATAAACAATACTCAACCTGAAAATAAGCATAAAGAAGTCTGATAAAGTCTTCTTTCCCCCTCCATGATGTCTACTTTGTTGCTCTATAAAAGTATTACCTCTATTGTTTTTGCGGTTCCCCGGCTCTGCTAGTCCCCCTGAGCGTGGGCCTTTGGGGCATCCAGCCCTGGGAAGTAATAAGTAGATGCTGCAGCTTTAGATTTAAGACTGATGTTTGGAAACAAAGTGAAGCTCATCCAGGGCACCCTTTTGCCTTTTGTTGCTGAGTTGCCTCTGGGGTGAGACCTTTGGGGTCTTTCCCAGGGTCCTTCAACTTCATTGCTTCTGCTCCCTGTGAGAAACACTACAGCAAACTTGGCTGCTTTGTGCAAGAAGTCCAGGGAGCTGGACTTGTTGTCCCCACAGGTATGATGGGCTGTCCCAGAGTGAGACGGACCCCCACGTGGAGGAGCTCTTCAGGCTGGTGATGTGGCTGACCACCTGTGGAAGGTCGGAGCTGAAGGTGTTTGACAGCATCACTTACCCGCAACGTGAAGGCTTCAAGTTCCATCACGAGGCTTCTGGTAGGTCCTTCTTGGGTCTCTGATCGACCTGCAACAGCTGATGTTGTGCCTTGACAAGGCCACACTGGTCTTTTCCTGAATCTTTGTGCAGAAAAACAAAAACAAAAACATTTTGCACTTGTCAATGCTCAGTAGGGTCTGATTCTGTTGTAACATTTGGGGAGATTATCTATGGATTTAAAATCTCTCCCTCACAAATTTTTCCAGATGCCCAACCTCAGCTTTGTGCAGTGAGAAAGTTTGTCTTGGATGTGAGTTAGAGGAAACTTTTACTTAATAAAGTCAAAGATAATAAACTAAAGTAATGGAGGAGGCCACTGATCTCTACTCACCCAGGACCTCCTCTTGTATGACTTACTGTGTAACATTTGCTTACATGATGGGGACAGATGACCCTGAAATAGCCCCAGGGTCAGAGTCACTGCTTTCTCAGTACTTTGAGATATTGATTATTGATTGACTGAGTTCCTCAATCAATGTGCATTGATGCTTTCTGCCCAGAGAGCACAGAAATGCTCAATAAGCGGCTCAGTGGATGCATCGGGCACAGTGAGGACACCAGGTAGGGAGGATCTACTCTGCTTGGGTGAGTTAGGGGGCCCTTCGCAGAGAAAAGCATATTTATTCAACAGCTTTTCTAGAAATGAAACTGATTTTGCTTAGCAATTTTTAACATCATTTGATTTTAATTGATTGAAAGCAATCCTCTAGCCCAGCGCTGTCTAATGAAAATATATGTGAGCCCCATATGTAATTTAAAAATATATGTTCTACTGAGTTTTTGGTAAAAGTTTACACGGCAAATTAGGGTCCCATTTTGAAACACACAACTTGTTCATTGACATTAGCTACATTTATCACAATGTGTCAACATTCTCTTTAATTGTGTTCTGTTTGTTCCATTTCCAGTACTCTAGTTTCCCTGCCCCCTTATCTTCTCATCTTTGCTTTTGGGTAATTGTTGACCTTTTGGTCTTATACTGATGGTTTTTAAGTAGTGCACTGACCTTACAGGTAATATCCTTTATTTTGTGTGCCAATCAGCTATTTTGCTAAAATGTGATCTCTGGATAGGCCCAGTTCTAGGTTTAAAGAGTGTCTCAGGGTGTAGTGTCAGGGAGTCCTCTGTTCTCTACTGATGCAGTTTGTCTGCCTTTTTTTTCAAAATAAGAATTTGAGTTCTGCTCCACATATTTCTCTCATTCTATCAAGGATCATCTATTGTGTCCCCAGTCAGAACAGTCAGTGGTGGTAGCTGGGCACCATCTAGTTGTTCTGGTCTCAGGGTGGATAATGTTGTGGCCCCTGTAGACTTGTTTCTTCTCTGAGCTTCTGGGTCCCTTCGTACTCTTTTGCTCCTGGTGAGCAGAGACCCATAGCTGTGTCTTAGATGGCTGCTCATAAGGTTTTAAGACCCCAGATACTACACACTTCACTAGGATGCAGATCATGATTTTTGTGAAGTATATTATGCCAATTGACTGAGTTGTCCCATGATATTACAATCCTAAACTTTCAAACCCAGAAAACCAATCTTGGAAGGTGTTTGGTTATATCTGTGGAGTATCCATATTTGTGTCTTCAATGAATATATGTGCCTGTACCCACATATTTGTATTTACACACAGTTACAGATACCTCAATCTGTTCTCACCTATGTATACAGCTGTACCTACCCACATACCGATATGCCTGTACACATCCATATGTGTTCAAACACTCGTCTGCATGGGGCATTTAGACCATTTACATATAAGGTTATTACTGAAAACGAAGTGTCTACCTCACTCATTTTGCTGTTTGTTTTTTAAGTGTTTTGTAACTTCTTTGTTTTTTATTATGATTTTTAAAAATTTTTGTTTGTATTTGGCTGATTTTTTGTGATGAGCTTTTTGCTTTCTTCCGAATGTTTTTTCTTGGTGATTTCTTAGTGGTTACCACATATATTACATTATACAACTTACAGTTATAACAATGTTTAACATGAAAAACAGTTAACATACAATCTTAACATGATAAATCTATTCCTGATATGCTCCTCCCTCCCCCGCTTTTATTAGTCTGTCTCCATTCACATCAATATACAACCTATATTTGATAAGTTTACTTTGTGCTTATTTCTTACAAACTTGATATTGTATTGTTTGTGGGATTTAATTTCTGAGTTTATTCCCTGAAAATATCATATACTTGATCCTTATGATTGTCCATGTATTTGCATTTTTGAGATCTCTCATTATTTACTTAATTTCCTGTGTATAGATATGAATATTTATTTTATACTCTTGTCTTTCCATTTGGAGTACTCTCTTGAGTAGTACTTGCAAAGCTTGTCTAGCAGTAGCAAATTCCCAGGGCTTCTGTTTGTTTGAAAATGTCTTGATTTCCCCCTTGTTTTTGAATGACAACTTTGCAGGGCAAAGAATTCTTGGTTGGCAATCGTTTTTGTTCAGTATTGTATATACGTCACTTCATTGTCGTCTGGCCTCTAGAGTTTCTGGGGAGAATTCCTCACTGATTCTTACGAAACGCCCTTGGTATGTTATGTTGCATTTTTCTCTTGCTGCTTTCAGAATTCTCTCCTTGTCTTTGGTTTTCAAGAATTTTATCAGAATATGGTGCTGAGTTAATCTTTTTGTGTCTCTTCTGATTGGTGTTCTTGTAGCTTCCTGAATTTGCAGGCTTGGTTCTCTGTGCAGGTCTGAGAAATTCTCTCTGATTATCTCTTGGAAAATTGTTTCTATGCCTTTATTGTTGTCATGATGCTCTGAGATTCCAAAAATTCTAATGTTAGATTTCTTAATTGAATCCTGTATTTCCTTTTGGGTTTGTTCACTTTTCTTTGTTCTTTTCTCTTGTTTCTCTTGAGACTTGATAAGTTCAGTTATTTTGTCTTCTAATTTGTTTATTCTCTCTTCTGTCTGTTTGATACTATTGTTAAGTGTTTCTCTTGCTGTTTCTAATTCAGTTGCTTTATTCCTCAGTTCCAGTAGTTTTTTTTTGATGTTTTCAGTTTCTTTGTTGAGTCTCTCATTTTGTTTCTCCATTTGTTTCCTGATCTCCTCTAGTTTGTGTGTTTTTTGCTTTCTTCAAACATAATTACCACTGTAGTCTGAAAATGATCAATTCTTTGTGTTAGACAGGCCTCCATAGGAGAATTTTCCTCTTCTTCAAGTTTTACTTTTGATTTGTCCTTCTTCTCTTGTGATTTTGTGTGTTTTACTATTTTTTGTTGAACTCGGGCCATTTTCTTATCTTTTTTTTACTTTATATTCTGGTTTTTGTGGGGAATTTTTCTGACTGGGTATCCTGGTAGCACAGCAGCCAACCACCCCCTCCCAACCGAAAGGCTGGGGCCTGCACCCACCAGCCACTCCATGGAAGAAGAATGCAGCAGCCCACCTCCACAGTGACTCACAGCCCTGAGACCCTCCCCACCCGCCACCATGGGGCAGCTCTATTCCACCCCATAGGGCCTCTATGAGTCAGAATTGACTTACGGGCAGTGGGCTTGGTATCTTTTCCTTAGAACCACTGACAGGCACTCTTATCCTTAGCTTTTTTCCCAGTGCTGATTCAGGAGCTCTGCATGCTTGATCTCTGGAATTCAATATGCATGCACAGGAGAGGGGGAGGATTTAGCTGGTCATAGATGCTGACATAAGCAGTGGGGCTCGACTTTCCTGTGGTGAAGTTGGGGGTCTCTATATGTCTTTCCTTTACAGGTGCCCCTGCACATGCTCTCCCATGATGTCCTGCTGTAGGGTCAAAGCCAGCCATTTTCCTCTGTGTTGCCTGTCAATCTGAAGTATTCCCCTCACCCTGCTGCCCTTGAAGTTCCTCCAGGTCCTAGTGCCCATCCATCTCGGGCCTCAGAGAGATTCAACAGCACTCTCTTGCAGCACCACAATCTTCCTTCATCCCCTCCCAATTGCACAGCCCACTAACTCCCAGAGTCAATTTACACCACCTTAAAAAATTGGGCTCTAGCTTCCTCAGATTAGCTCCCTTTCTGTGTTCCCTAGCCCCATCTCAAAATGTCTGTGATGAGTGAGTGTCCCCGATGTTAGTGGGTATATTCTCCCAGCTTCTGTGCCGTCCTTGCTCCTCCTCTCCCCTACTTCTGGACTCACTCCAACTCTCCAATAACTTAACTGCCATCTGGAGATCTGAGATCTCAGTCTGTGCTTGTTTTTATTCATTGTTCAGTGGATTAGTTGCTGAAGGAGTAAACGGGAGCATCCACTCACTTCACTGTTTTGCTCTGCCCCCCACATGTAATTTGAAGTTTTCTAGTAGCCATATTAAAAAATATAAAAAGAAACAGGTTAAAGTAATATATTATTATTATTAATATATATTATACTCGTTATATATACCAGTTGCTGCTGAATTGACTCTGACTCAGGGAAACTTCCTGTATGTGTGTTACAATATAATTGTGTTCCAAAGGGTTTTCAATGGTTGATTTTTCAGAAGTAGCTCACCAGGTCTTTCTATCAAGGTGCCTCTGGGTGGACTTGAACTTCCAACCTTTTGGTTAGCAACCAAGTTCATTAACCATTTGCACCACCGAGGGACTCCATGTTGCATATAATATATTATATACGTATACATGCACGCATATATATGTGGAAAGCACATCTCAGTTCAGACCAGTCACATTTCAAGTGCTTCATTAGACACCACCACATTTTGGGCAATGTAGCTTTAGCTTTACTCACACCATGGGAAGTTGACTTTTCTGATAGACTTTTATCCCCAGGAGCTAGAAAATAGAATCTTCTAATGTAATTTCCTAATTTCTGGACGTAGGCAGGAAAGATGACCTTCAGGATCTTTTTCTTTTTTTTCATCTTCAGGGGCAACTGTTAAGAATCTTCAGGCCTTCCAAGTCCTGCAGAATGTCTTCCACAAAGCCAATGACCTTCTCCTCTGCTCACAAGTCTTGTCAGCCATCAAAACCATGTGGACCTGGAACGCACACAACTTCTTCCTGCTGGAGTGGACCCTGCAGCCTATCTCGCAGTTTGTGGAGCTCTTGCACCTGAAACCAGTCCCGGTGCAGATGCAGTTCTTCCAGTTGCTGGAGGCTCTGGTGTTTGAGCTGTACTATGTGCCCCATGAAATCCTGCGGAAAGTTCAGCGCCTGATCAAGGAGAACCCTGAGTCACCCTGCACCCTTGTGGCCCTGCAGAGCATCCACAGGATCACAGGCGGAGACCTATTATTCACCGACATCTTCCGGGACTCAGGGCTCCTGGGCCTGCTGCTGGCCCAGCTGAGGAAGCGAGCCAAGATCATGAGGAAGTCAGGTGTGGCTGAGGAGCACCGGGGAGGGGGGGGGGTTGGCAAACCGCTTGGGGTGAGTGTTAGCTAGGTCTGGGTCTGTGTGCCCCCTCCACATATCAACATAACAGGGACAATGATGGTGCCCATGTCACCGGGCACTGTGAGGGCCAAAGAAGATACCCCTGGGGGGGAACATGTCTTCCCAGTGCTACTTCTCAGAGGTACAAAGAAAAGGTGCCTCCTTATGTTCTATAACTGACCTGATGTTTCTCATGCAGAGGTGAGTGTCCCTTTAAACAGGTCTCCTGGGCTCAGAAATCTCCTGCTCCATTGTTGCCTGGACATATAGATGGGGCAGGGGTAGGGGGGAGCAGAGAGCCCAACAAGTCTTCATTGACACAAAGGGGAGGGGAGCTCAGAGAGGCCTGGGGCTCTCTGGGGCCTGCTGGGGTCATTGGGATACAGCTGCCTTGTTCATCTGGTGCAGTTGGGGCTTGATGGTCTTCTACTTGGAGTCTGGACCACCAGGGTTTTGTTGCCGTTTGAATCTTGGCCAAACCCTGTACACCGGCTGGGCTGTACACAGTGGCTCCTTAGCAAGGTCCCATCACCCCTACCTCTGCCCCTACCCCATGCCTCTCAACCTCTGTGGCCTCTGCCTCCCCTGCAGGGCATTTAGGGTTCCTTCCATCCATGCAGGAGCACAAAATGATGCAGGATGCTGGCCTGGGCTGCCTAACTACACCATGTGCCATACACCCTGCTGGGGCCACCAGTAATCATTTGCCCTCAAGCTGACTCTGACTCATGGTGACCCCATGTGTGTCAAAGTAGACCTGTGCTCCATAGGGTTTTCAATGGCTCATTTTTCAGAAGTAGATCACCAAGCCTTTCTTTCACGGTGCCTCTGGGTGAACTCAAACATCCAGCCTTTTGGTTAGCAGCCAAGCACATTAACTGTTTGCACCACCCAGGGACTCCGTGTAATCCTCTGAAACCCTCATCTCTGCTGAGTTCAAATAGGAAGAAGGGTATGAAGACCCTTTCCCTGTCCCTTTTGTCTTTCCTCCGATCTGCCTACACCTGCCTCTGGCATACCAGCCTGAAGGAGGGACACCCGATGCATGTGTCTGTCCACTTGTCCCTCCCTGCTTCCTGCCTCTTCTCTGCCCTCTGCACTGGCTGGAAGGGCTGCTGCACTTTTGGAATTCTATTTAAGACACTGCCAAAGTCATCCATCTGTCTACTTCTTGGGCCTCTCTAGAGGAAGAAGTTGAAAGAGAGAATGTGAGCATGAAAGCCAGAGAGCTCTGGGCTGGGATCCTGGCTGAGTCACTTAGGAGCTGAACGGCCCTGAGCAACTTAGCTAAGCTCTCTGAGCCTGTGCCTGCCACTGTAAGTGGGAGTAATAATATCTACATTATGGAAATGTGGGGAGAGTTAAATAACATAATATCTGAAAAAGGATCCATTGCTGTGCCAGGCTTAAGGTGCTCCAAGAAATGTTTGCCACCTTACCCCTGTAGGTTCTGTGCTACTGCCGAGGAGACTGAAATGGACACTCAGGAGGACCTTCGACACCTTTGGGAGGTCAGGGATGAGCCAGGCCCTCCCCAGGCTTGTTTGCAAGTAGGATGAGGGCTGAGGATGAGGGTGCTCCCAGAAGGCTCTGAGTGCTCCGGCCTCTGGGCCAGGTCCCAGCGAGTATGTGGCCATCTCTTCCTTCTGTTGCTCATGACTTCTTGCCTTAAATCCATCACAGACAAAGTTAAAATTTTATATTCCCATCTTTCCTTGGCGTTTAAATGAGAAATCCTTACAGTCTTTTTGTCCAGTGTTTCTGTGTTATCTTACCTATGTGTTGCTTTTTTATTTTTAATTTAATAGGCTTTATTTTTTAGAGTAGTTCAGGTTTGCAGAAAAATTTTTCAGAAAGTACAGAGAGTTCCCATATATCCTACCCCACCCCTACCACAGTTTCTCCTGTTATTAACATCTTGCGTTTGTGTGGTACATTTGTTCAACTAATTAACTAATATTCATAGTTTACATTAGGGTTCACTCATTTTGTTGTACAGTCGTATGAATTTCTGACAAATGCATAATGCCATATGTCCACCATTATACAGCATACAGCATAGTTTCACTGCCCTAAAAATGCCCTGTGCTCCACGTATTCATCCTTCTCCCCTCCCTCTAAGCCCCTGTCAATTTCTGATTTTTTAAAAAATGGTTTATGGTGATGAGTATATATATAACAAAAAATTTACCATTTCAACCTCTTGTACATGTACCATTCAGTGACATTAATTGCTTTCATTATGTTGTGCAGCCATCACCACTATTCATTTCCAAAAAGCAGCCTGTCTTAGCCATCCAGTGCTGCAATAACAGAAATACCACAAATGAGTGGCTTTAACAAACAGAAATTTACTTTCTCACAGTTTAGGAGGCTAGAAGTCCGAATTCAGGGTGCTGGCTCTAGGGGAAGGCTTTCTCTCTCCGTCGGCTCTGAAGCAAGGTCCTTGTCTCTTTGAGCTTCTAATCTTGAGTGATCTTCGTGTGCCTTGGCATCTCTCTCCCCCATCTCTGCTCTGCTCGCTGTTTAATCTCTTTTATATCTGAAAAGAGATTGACTCAAGGTATAGTTTACACTAATCCTGTCTCATTAACATAACAAAGACAACCCATTCCCAAATGGGATTATAACCACAGGCATAGAGGTTAGGATTCACAACACATATTTTTGGGGGACATAGTTTAATCCATAACACATCTAACATTGACTTGCTTTTGAATCCTATCCCAAACTTATGGCCATTGTTAAAAGAATTGAAACTTTTTGGTGAGCTGATGGCTGCAGTCTTACTTTATGCTGTCTATTGTTAAATGTTTATTGTTGTTTCTTAGATATTTTGTCTCCTGGTTAATAAGTTCTACGTTTTACCCATTCATTCATTGATTTGTTTATTTCCCAAATATGTGTTGAGCTTTCAGTTTGTGTCAGGCACTTGTCTGGCATTGGGATTCCGTGGTGAACACAGGAAGCGTGGCTTTGCCCTCACGGATCTAGTGGGGATGGCTGTTTGTTTCAGACTCTCTCTTGCATCTCCATGACTCCAGCATGAGCTGCCAGTCCACCCTACCAGATGCAAATAGCAAATGATATAAGTGACCAAAGGAAAATCCGTGAGGCAGGACTTCAGACTTCACATAAGGGAGCGGTCTTCAAAGCACGGTCCCCTGATCAGCACTATCCCCTAGAAGCTGGTTAGAAATGCACATATTTGAGCCCACACCAGATCAACTGAGTCAGAACTCTGGAGATGGGGCCCAGGAATCTGGGTGTTAACAATAAGCACTCCACGGGATTCTGATATGCTCATGTTGGAGAACCACTGCTGTCGCGGATGGTAGGGTTACATCTTGTGAATCGGGATGCACGCTCCTGAATAATGGAAGCATTATATTCATGTTTCCCTAAGAGGATTGGAGCCCTGGTGGCGAAGTGGTTAAGAGCTTGGCTGCAAACCAAAAGGTCAGCAGTTTGAATCCACCAGCTGCTTCTTTGAAACCCTATGGGACAGTTCTACTCTGTCCTATAGGGTCGCTATGAGTCGAAATCAACTTGATGACAACGGGTTTGGGTTTTTCTTCCCCCTCTAAGAGGATTGAAAGCTAATGAAGTCAGAGATTTTAGTCAAACCATGCACTTCAGCTTCCTAGGGCTGCTGTAGCAAAACACCACAAACTGGGTGGCTTATAAGAACAGAAATTTATTGTCTCACAGTTCTGGAGGCTGGGAGTCTGAGATCAGGGTGTCAGCCGTGTTGATTCTGTCTGAGGCTTTGAGGGAGAATCTGTTTCATGCTCTTCTCCCAGCTTCTGGTAGCTCAACGCATCCTTGGCTTGCAGCTGCTGCGTCACATGGTGTCCTTCCTCTGTCTCCTTGTCTCTGTACATCTGCTCTTCTTTTCTAAGGACAAAAGTCATAGAGGATTGGGACCCACCCTACTCCAGCATGATCTTATGTTAACCTAACTGAACATCTTCAAAAACTCTGTTTCCAAACAAGGTCACATTCACAGGTGTAGGGGTTAGGACTTCAGCATACCTTTTTGGGGACACAATTCAATCCATAACACCACATGTACTTTTTGAAGATTTAGTTATTGTTTCTTAAATATGGCAGGAAACAAAGAGTCCGCTCCTGGCATTCAGGATCCAGAAAGAGAGCTCACCTGCTTGATGCTGAGGACTGTGGCCACGCTTCTTGAGGGCTCAGTTCGGAACGCAGGTAAGGATAGCAGCAAATAGGCCCTGTAACTGTTCCCTTGTTATCTATAACTGGTGTTCAAAGGCTTTATTTGTGCAATAGCCGATGCTAGTGTCGTGGCCAGCTTCCATTCAGTGAATATCAGCAAACTGGTAGGCCCCTCAGTTGACACTTTTTACTCCTGAGGTTGCTAAATGATGTTGGGGAGCAAAAAGACTATGCTTATTCTAGCATTTCCTAAATTTACAAGACCACAGTGCCCCCTTTTCCAAGAAAAATCTATTAATATCCTGCGGCACTAACAAAAGATGCTTTTTTTAATCCAAAGAGTAAAATACAGGCAAAGAAAGCTAGTCATTTTTAAGAAACAGAATTTTGATGCACTCCCAGCCCATGATGGACTTAGCAGCTCAATTCATCCAAAAAAATTTCATTGGCTTCCTAAGATCATGTGACCACCAGCTTAAAAATATATATATACACGCACACAAGATATTATAACATAAATGCACATATATCATATATAATATGTATGACATATTATGCACATATAATATGAAACAGATGCATCAACCGAATCACATCAGTTGGCTTGGTAATTTCGGGCATCTTTATCCATACCAAATGTGGAAAACTATTCATTATAGCAGAGGGTCTCTAACATTAGTCTACAAATGATTTCCTGAAGGTGCACATTAAAATGTGTATTTCTAGGCCTCACTTCCAGAGATTTAAGGAGTAGTAGGTCAAAGTAGAGCTCAGGAATCTACTTTGTAAAAAGTCTCCCAGGTGATTTCCATGTAGGTGGTACCTGGCCCATGCTGGGAGAAATCCTGCTTTATGGAATTGTCTGCTCAAATCCACTTCATGCCATTTGAAGTTCAAGTTACTTTCCAGTTCTCATTACACCTGTGATTACTGCAAATAGCAATACTGGGGAAGAAATTCTTAGGATAACCTTTAAACAAAAATATATCACCAGTCAAATTTCTTTAATTTTCTCTCCCAAAAAACTCTTTAGGAGTTAAATATGTTCTTAACTGAAACTCTGGTTTGCTTTCCAAAGCAATTTTAGCAGAGAAAAGAGAATTTCCATGACCCTGGGTTAGGGAATTACAGGAAAATAAAAGGCAGAAGGATAGTTAGTAAAAGTTGGTATTACTTAGATTTCTTAAAAAAATAAATTTTTACTTTAAAACTAGAATTCTTACTGGAGAAGAAAGCCGTTTTTCTTTTTTAAATCTTAGCTCCGCAGTGTCTCTTTCCCTTTTCTCATTTAACAGTGGGTATAGGTTACAAAACAAAGTTACCAATGGGCAGAAAAGAAACATAAATATATAGCAAAACAAACTTCGAGAATTATAAGAAAAACCATTCCTTGTGATGGAAACTAAGGTGCCAGGCCCCCCTGCTCTAGCCCGTGTTGTTTGTCTGGCCCATAGCTGTTCTGAAAGACCACGGCATGGTGCCATTCATCAAGATCTTCCTGGACGACGAGTGCTACCGCGCAGCCTCGCTCAGCATCCTGGAGCAGCTCTCCGTCATCAACGCGGAGGAGTACATGAGCATCGTCGTGGGCGCCTTGTGCTCATCCACGCAGGGCGAGCTGCCGCTGAAACTGGATCTTCTGAAGGTGATTTCAGGTTTCCTTATGCTGGCTTTCCCTTGGGTTTGTAGCAGATGGACGGCATTCATTCATTCAGTTAACCTCTGTATAAGGTAGGGAAGAGCTAGCTGCTGTAGCAGAAAGTCCCATATTCTTAGTACCAACCTTTAGGGTAGGAGTTGACTGTGTTAACCGATTGCACTACCCAAACCAAACAAAACCAAACCTAACCTGTTGCCGTAGAGTTGATTCTGACTCATGTTGACTCCACGTGTTACAGAGTAGAACTGCTCCATAACGTTTACTTGGCTGTAATCTTTACGGAAGAAGATTGTCAGGCCTTTCTTTCACAGCGGCTTTGGGTGGTTTTCGACCGTCAACCTTTAAGTTAGTGTTTGAGCATAAACTGTTTGTGCCACCCAGGGGCTTATTTGCACCACCCAGGGACTCCAAAAATTCTCAGTTGTTTAACACAATAGAAGTTTCTTTCTATGCACATTGCAATCAATGATTGGGGTGTCATGCAGGGACAGCTGTCCCCTGGGCGTGGAATTCAGCCGACAGGGAAGGAGTGAGAGCACGGAGAATTGCACAAGGCATTTTCTTGTTCAGTCCTAGCACGGGCACACCTTAACCCCGTCAGGTTTTCTCCGAGCAGAACTCAGCCACATGGACTCATCTGGATGCGAGAGTGCCTGGCAGTGGTGCTTGCTGGGCAGCTCCTTCCCAGCAATGCTAAACAATGAGAGGGGTGCTGGTGGCCAGCAGCTGCCTTGACTGCTCGGTCATGGTTTATTCCACCAGCACGTACCAGGCCGATGTGCCCAGGACAGAAAGTTGAATGAGACACAGCCTTGCCATCTGGGAGTGCACAGACAGTGGTGACCGTGCACACAGCGCAGCGTGGTAGATGCCCCCGGTATACAGGCGGCTGCAGGAACAGAGCAGTAGAGAGACCAACACTGCCGTATGTGACTAGGAAGGTTCCCAGAGCAGGTGTCCCTCATGGTACCTGCTGATTACCTGTCCAGGATGCCTCATCCGCTGTCTGCACCTGCCTCTGCTGCTCATGCTTTAGGGTGCTTTCTTTGTCTTCCTTGCTACTGCAGGTCTCTGGGCTTCCATTCCTGCCAAACAACCCACATTTTAATTAAAAAATCATGTCCATGGCAGTCAGAACTGGTCTACTGCATTGATTGACTTTTATCAGAGCAGGGAAGTCACCCTACTGGTAGGACTTGACACCTCTGTTAATGTCACGTAGGCGTGACGCGGGAAAGGAACAGGAGGCAACCTAGGTCACTGGAACAGTGGGTGTGAAGGGAGAGGTGAGGCTGAGACTTCATGTTTGGGTAACAGAGAGAGGTATGTGTTTTTTCATTTACAGTATTGTTAATGATCATCAAATTATCCTAAAATAGTTAAAGAAAGAAAGAAATCTCATCACCACCATCCCTGTGACTCACACTTTTCACAATTTTGTTACTGTTTCTCCTTTTCCACCCTGTTGTCTTTGTGGGTTTATGTCTTTTAAAAAAATCCCTTTTCTTTTGTTTTATGAGGACTGGGAGAAGTAAATGCAAATATCCCCCAGGGATTTGACCTTGTGGCCTCTTATGTATTTGTACAACACAAGCCATATGAAACCCATGCTCAGGTGTCATTAACAGGCCACACTTTGATGACTGGTGAATTTTAAAAAATACCAAGTTTCTCTGACTTCCAATAGTTAGCTAAACCATCAGCCTTGCTTAGCCACGTGTATCTGTGAACAAACCAGGCTAACATTTGGAGAATGGTGTTGGGTTTGTTTTGCCTGCTTTTTTACTCTGGTGAGCCCATGGCAGTCTTTAACGTAAGCTGTGCTCCCTGCCAGCGCATGGACTGGGCCTGCAGTGCCCAGTGAGCCTCCCTAGAGGGCCATCCCACAGCGCCATCCGTGCATGACCATGGTTATCATTGTGCTTCACAGATGCAAAACCAAGACAGCAACATGATGACAAGATAAAACAAAAAATCTGTTGCTGTCAAGTCGATTCCAGCTCATGGGACCCCATGTATTACAGAGTAGGACTATGCTCCATAGGGTTTTCTTCGCTGTAATCTTTATGGAAGCACATCACTAGGCCTTTCTTCCGAGGTGCAGCTGGGTGGGTTCGAACCACCAACCTTTTGGTTAGTAGTCAAGAGCAAACTGTTAGTGCCATCCAGGACCTCGATTCAATTACAGGGCCAAAAAATCGGTGATGGCTGTTTATATAAAACAAAAAGAGAAGTTAAATGTCTTGAAAGGCACTTGAGTCCCATGATTATGTGAGGTAAAGGGGCTGGTAGGGATGTGGAAAGGAGAGAACCAGGGAGAGATACATCAAGAATCAGTAAACGTTCAGAGTTAGGAAGGACCTTAGATTCATGTGGTCCAATCTCCTTATTTTACCAGCAGAGATAGACATCCAGAGAGCTTCACGGACTGAATTAAGATCACACAGCTGCTCAGTGGTGAGACTGAGTCTGAATCTAAGACTAGTGACCGAACATCTGGTGATCTTTCCCCTTTGTGCTGTTTGATGCGTTTTCCTCATATGTCTAAATTCAGCTTGGTTCACCTGAGCCTCATCCTGAGAGAAAGAGGGAAGTCGTGACCAAGGTATTCAGCTGAACATCTGGAATCCCGGTCTGTGTCTGACACTTTCATATTCAAAGTCAAACAGTTCCACAGAGAGAAAAGTTTTATTTTATCTAGTTTTACTTCGTTAGGAGAGTAGAAGTATTTTTGTGTCTGGTACAGAACAGAGCGCTTTGCTTAGCTCATGGGAAGTTCATCTTGTCTACTCTATAGCCCAGGGCACCTTATTGGAGTGTCAGCCCTTGGGTAATAGGACTGAATTTCTAGAATTAGCAATGTGAAGCCATTATGGTGTTTTACAGATTCAATATCATTTCAGAATCACACTGTCAAGAAAGCACGTAAGTGAGAAATACTGAGTCAGCATATTTAACAAACTCATGCCCTATGCTCAGTGTACCATCTTCTCCTTGGGTGCCAAGTCACTGTGGGGCAGTCGCAGGGGTGCCCAGGAGCTGCACAGCTCTCTAAGGCCCAGGACTGTTCACTCATTGCTGCTCCAGTGGGCCGTGGCGGGGAGTGACGGGGCCCAAGAACTTTGTTCAGACACACCCACCGGTAAGTCACATGAGCAACCAGTGAATGTTTGCTGGGATCTGATGTGGGATCTACATTTGATTCTAAATCATCCTGGGAACTCCTTGGAACTTTACAAAGATGTAAAATGAGGTCTTGAGCTGGATCTCACTTTTTAGAAGTTGAGAGCTGACTCTGCTCAAGGGACTATGCTTACAATGGAAGACGGGGAGGGGGGCTGAGTGCTGGAGCAGGGGAATCTGAAGGCAAGGGCATGGGCAGTACCCCCACCACCCTATAAAGGTTTGCCATTTAACAAGTGCACCCACACCTTGTCACCCACCCCCTTTGTTTCCCTTCCCAAGGCAGAATCAGCCAGCTGCTCTTAAGAAAACAATACCACTTGCCGTGGAGTCCACTCCAACTCAGGTGACCCTGTGTGTGTCAGAGTAGAACTGTCCTCCATAGGGTTTTCAGTTGCTAATTTTTTGGAAGTAGATTGCCAGCCCTTTCTTCCAAGGGGCCTCTGGGTGGACTTAAACCTCCAGTCTTTTGGTTAATAGTGAATGCATTAACCTTTTGCACCTCTCAAGGACTCCAAAACCCTCCATTAACACCCAACTTAAGAGATTTGTTTCCAAAATTCAGTGGTGCTTCCATACCAATACACTTAACTTCACCACCTAATTCTGGCAAATGATAGCTGAGTTAAAGCATAAGGCAAGCAAATGAATTTCCTCTCCCCAGCCAGTGGGACTGTGATTGGGTTATGCACAAATGCAGATTGATTTGCTAATATACATTTAGCTGTTCAACTCTGAGCATAATTGAATTACCTCACCAGTCTTCCAGCATGACGCATGGAAAATTATGAGGAATAACAAATAATAGAATGTGAAATAAATCCTGTTAGTCCTAACCTAGTTAGCGCTTTGCAGCAGACATCCATTTTATAGATTCAAGCTGGAGGAATACTAACTCAGAGACAGTGGCATGGTAACTGTGTTAAGGATGAGAAAATGTGCTTAACGCTGACCTTTCTTGAAATGTGTCAGCCTGAGCCTGATTACTTTGACTCCGGCTGATTAAATTTACTCCCTTCGGCGGACTTGCCAGGCCCCGTGATGCATGATCATGCAAAGTTGAATGACAGTAATGGAGACCCTCCTCCTAGGCCCGTAGCCCCTGATAAATCGTTTCCCGATGTAGCACAGTATTTATTTTCCTTTATGATAGAAATGTTTCGCTTTAGTCGCTATGAAATTAAGCCTTTGTAATTGGATTTTGGACTCTTTACTTTATGACTCTGCAAATATGAGATTAACCCCATCCCAAGAAATAATAGAGCAGTCTAAGTTCTAATGAGATTATCCCCATTTCAGATAATGACTCTAAATTAAATAAATCAAACAAAGCAACAATTAAGGACAGCCATTTCTTCTGCTTCCCCTCCCTCCCAACAAGAGGAGAAGAAAATACACAATCTAGAAATTATGGGGGGGACAGATCCTCTGAGAGACACATATTATAATGAGGACTATTGTTTTATTGTTTCGCTTTATAAAATATCTGCTCTCAATACTCTTTGAATGGTGGAGTTCTTTTGAGCAATATCTGGGATCAAATGGAAAATTGGAAGGTGGTTTCTTGAGGGAAGAGGGAGGAATTAGGGGTCATCCAGCACTCAGACGATTGACTATAATCTGTTTAGTTTTATTTTTTTAATCAATCTCCCATTTTGGTTTTCGTTTTGTCATACGTCCTGTGATAAATGGAAGAACTTCATTCCATTTGCCTAAAAGAATCTCGTAGTGGTCTTTGGAGTTCCTGGTGCAAATAGTTAACACACTCAGCTGCTAACCCAAAGGTTGGAGGTTCAGGTCCA